ATGAATGAATGAATGAACATGCAGACCCAGCCCTGCCCGTGAGGGGTGCAGTTGGAGGCAGACACTGACACATATCCATCAGCCGGACCCTGAGAACACTGGGGAAGGTCACCAGACAGCAAATGGAAAGGGTGCAGAATACAGCAGGAGACCGATATCAAGTTTTACTAGTTTTTCTCCATTTCGTGTTCAAGTCGGGGCGAGAAGATAGGATTTCAGGAGCCAGACGGCTGGAGGAGGAGGGCGGCCCCAGACAGGCTCCCCTCGCACCTCCCCTCCAGTGTCCTGTGGACGCCCCTGGGCCGGGCATGGCCGCGTGGCCCCATTTCACAGATGCGTGAAGTGAGGCCCGGTGTGTGAGGAGCAGGATGCCTTCCCTGTCGCTCGTGTCTGGCAGTTCTGTCTGGCCTGGATTCCGGGGTCCAGATTCACCAAGCATTCACATTTTGTCCTATTTGCTTCTGATTAGTTTTTAAAGAAATGGAATGTGGGTTGTTGGGAATCCACGCCTGTGGAGCCCTCCTCAGTCGGGCTCCTCTCCTTCCCTCCCTCGAGTAACCGTGACTCTGATGCTGGTGGTTCCCTTCTTGTCCTTGTTTAGCCATTTGGCAAGCATTTATTGAGCACCTGCTGTGTGCCAGGCACTGTTCTAGGAACTGGGGAGAACCTAATGAATACAACAAAGTCTTCTGCCTTCATGCAGCTTTTGCTCAGATACCCGTGTGTCCCTGTGTATCACACGCCGTATTGCACTGGTCTTTAAACTCTGCAGAATTGGGACAGTCATGCTGCAATTTGCTTTCTCAGTCAATGTTAAGTTTTCAGGATTCCGTCATGCTGATCCATGAGAGCTGTTTTCTTTCTCTTAACGGCATCGTACAAACGCACCGCGGTTTATCCATGCTTCCATCGTGTCGTGTTTAGGCTGCTTCTGTCGTTTCGCTGTTTCAGTCAGCGCCGCGGTGCAGGGCTTTGTGCGCTTCTCCTGGGCCACATGCGGCTTCTCCGGGCAGGGGTGAGGAGGGGCCGTGCTGGCCTGTGGCGCCGGGCACACTCGGCTTCACTGGACGTCAGCGTGGTCTCTGGAGCACTCTAATGGACGCTGCTGTGTCACAGTGGCCAGCTTGCTGGTAGCAGAGGCGGGGCCTTGAGGGGTGGGAGCAAGGACTAGTCAGTTCAGACGGGTGGGACGGTGCAGGTGTGGAGATGGGGCAGGCTCGGGCCGCCTGGGGTGGGCTGGGCACTCACTGCAGGGCTGGGGTGAGGGCAGGGGTGGGAGTTGGAGAGCTAGGAGAGGTGGGCGGGCTGGTGGGGCCCAGGGAGGAGTGGGGATGCCCTGGCACTTGCTGCGGGGTTTTGGGCTTTCGTTCAGGTGGCTCTGCTTATGCTGGGACGCAGCAGGTGGGAAGCAGTGGGAGGGCTGGGCTGGATTCTAAAGCCCTGGGGCAGGGGCGAGAGCCTCATCCAAGGTGGGCTCTGGCCCAGCTGCCGAGTGCCCCTGGGCAAAGTGCTGCCCTCTTTGGCCTCAGTCTCCTTGCTCCCAGTCCAACTTGGGCCAGGAGGTCTCCGTGGTCCCTATTGCCCATTTGCGTTGATGTTCTTGGCAAGTAGCCGTGGCTTCCCGCCCTGGCCCTGCGTGAGGAGGCACTGGCCTGGCGGGTGGCGAGGCTTAAAGCAGGCACCTGGCGTCTGGGTGCTTGCCAGGGGGCTGGGCAGCTGGCGTGTGGAGTGAGGGGCATGCCAAAGGGGACCCAGGAGGGCCTCAGGGGCCCCGGGGAACCATAGACGCCCCCATGCCCCCTCCCTTCTTATGATCCTCCCCCTGGAGCCCGGGGGCTGTGGACGGTTCCAGGCCCTGCCAGAGTTAGGGAGTGGGCTCCATGCTGCTCTGGTTGAATTTGGTTACGTGACTAGCAGTGTCATTTAACTGGATTCGTACTTTATCCAGTGAAGGGGCCATGGGGGAAAGGAGTAGGGTTTGGAGAGGTGTGCCCTCCCTGGGGGAGAGGGTGTCCCAGGGAGTGTTAGCCACGGTCCCCACCGTCACCACCGTGGTCCCCATGGTGACGGAGGGCTGGCAGGTTTGGTATATGACTTGGGGTCTTTTCAGGAGTGGGAGGTGCTGCCAAAGAAGAGGATTGACAGAGACCCAGTGCGCTAGGCCCTCCCCTCTCTACCAGAGATGGGCTCTGGACACAGACCTGGTTCACAGTCCCACTCACTGGCTGTGTGACCTCTGACAGGCTCCTTAGCCTCTCTTAGCCTCAGTTTCCTCCTCTATAAATTGGAGCTGTACTGACGATACTGACCTCAGATGAGTGAATCCATGTAAAATTTGCAGAATAACATTCAACACGCATTAGACGCTCCGTCAACGTTCACTCGTATTATTGAGCTCTGCATAACCCCCCGCCCCCATCTCCCCTCCCTGTGGTTGTTAGAATATCACATCCTGCTCAGACCTGCTCTCATCTCAAGTACCCTGTGGCTCACTCATGTTCTAGCTGACAGAGCCATGGTCACCTAATTCTTCCTTCACAGCGAAACGGAGCGTGCAACACGTGCCCTGGGGTGTCAGGCGGGCCCATCCCATGGAACCTCTCAGGGGAGCATCGCCCAGAAATACTACTTAATCTAAGAGTTTCTCCCTGATGGAGGACAATTCACTCCATCCCCTGCCTCCCTCCCCTCTGCCCTGTGGGCCCCCTCTTCTTGGAGCCAGGTGGCTCATCCTCACCCCCCATCTAGCCTCCTCTTGTCCATCTGTCTCCCCAGATGCAGGGAGAAACATCGCAATTGGCCCACTTTCTAATGGAAAGGAACCATATGGAGGGTATAGCTGGGAGCTGAGGGCCCGCCCGGCTGCCTTAGTGCACTGTGGGCAGGAGGCTGGGTCCCCTTGGCTCTCTGTGACCCGGGCCTGGAGGGGGGCCTGTCTTGCCCAAGGATCCTCGCTCCTTGTGTCCCTTCCCCATGAGCTCCTGGTAACCTGCTTTTCTCCAGTGCTTGGGACTTCTCTGGGTGTCTTAGGAGAGGCGTGGGGAGCTTGGCCTCTGGGGAAGAGGCAAGAAGTAAGGGAGGTAGGTGCTGGTCAGGGTGGGGGCAGAGGGCCAGGGGGCAGGGATGTGAGAACTTCCTGGGGCAGGGATGTGAGAACTTCCTGGGGCGGGGATGTGAAAGTGCGTGTGTGTCACGTGGCCCCAGGCCTGACAGGCGCCTGGCACAGGGCAGCCTGCCTTCTAGTGGGCGTACCTTGTTCTCCCCAGAACTCCCCGCCACCTGGCTGCTTACGCCTCCTCCTCCTGAGACTCAGCTGCGTGTCACCGCCTTGGGGCACCCTTCCACACCCTGAGCACCTTGCAGCTCAGACACCTCCAGAGGGACATGGGCTCAGGTGCAGAAGCCTCAGGTGGCCCTGGCCTGGGCCGGGAGGCCATTAGGAGGCCTAGGGGTGCCCAGCCAAGGCGGCTGGTTTGAGGCATTGGCTGTGATCCTGCTTGTGGTGGAGCTGGGCTGAGACCCCTGAGTGGGACCCAGAGGAGGGTGGCAGTCTTAATAAACGGGCTGGCTTCATTAAGAATAGTCCCTCATGCTTTTCCATCAACCAAGCCCTGACTCTGCCACCGGGGGCCCTGGAGACTCCACTCTTCCCCAGTGGGGCAGGGAACTGTGTGGCTTTGGGCAAGCCACTTTTCTCTGAGCCTCAGCTTCCTCACCCGTCAAACCTGGTTGCTGCTAGAAACGGTGGTCCACGATGCTTTTGTACCAGATCAGTGGGATTTAAATATCTGAAGGACACTTGTCCCCCACCAGCACGGAGAGACCCATCTGAGGCCTGGAACCGGCTGGGTGAAGTTGAACGTGCTCCCAGGGTGTCTGGGTGTGAAGCCGGGCCCACAAGGTACGGGCTCTGCCTCCCAGATGCGCCTGCAGGCTTGGGGCCAGGCTCTTACAGGGCAGGGAGCTCACGAGGCAGGAGATCTGGCCTCTGTCCCTCGTCCGGGCCTCAGCCAGGTAGACCGTGGGCTGGAGAAGGAGACTAGGAGGGCTCCCAAGCCCCCCAACCCCAGGCAGAGCTGCTGCGGCCCCTCCAGCTGAAGCTACACATTAGAATGGCCTTCCCGGCTTTCTGGAGCTCCCTGCTGGGGATCTGATCACAAATAAGATGGGGGGCGGGGGTCAAGGCACCCTGCAGGGCCCGGGCTGTGGTAGGAGCTGGAGAGGGGCCTGCGGGAGCCCGGGAAGGAAGACCTGGGTGAGCACTGTGGCCAGCTGTGCAGCATCACTGCCCGGGATGTGTGGTCTGAGTCAGCAGCCGTGCATGCTGCTCTCACCAAGGAGCCTGTTGATGAGCGAAGGCCTGGGGACAAGAGCCCCGGGAGGTGTGTGTGGATGTGGGTGTGGGGCCACTAATGGCCCAGGGTGGACAGTTTGCTCTGATCTCAGATTTACTCTTCCAAAAAACCTTATGAGGTGGTTACAATGAAAATAAGCAATGCTTACTAAGCACTTCCTATGTGCCAGATATTACTGTATTTGTGTGCATTAATTCACTTAGCTTTATATCAACCTATGAAGTAGGTAGTATTATTATCTTCACTTTATAGATGATGTATGTGAGGCACAGAGAGGTATCATAACTGCCCTGAGGTCACACAGCAGTAAGAAGCAGAGCCGAGATTTGAACCCAGGCAGTCTAGCTCCTAAACCCAATGCTGTATTGCCTCTTGCCAGCAGCCTATTTTATATATGGGGAAACTGAGGCACAGAGAACTTAAGTGACATGTTCAGGGTCACCCTGCTAGTGAGTGGTAGAATGAAAATTTGCACTGTGGCTGTTCTGACTGCACAGCCTATGCCTGCAGATCAGGACGCAGGGGTTAGGAGTCAGGCTGGGGGACCCCAGACTTGGTCTCCTGCTGTGAGCATGTGTTGGGCGTGAGTGGGGAGAGACTTGGGCTCCCCTGCTGGCTCCAGGCTGACTGGTGCCCTTCCCGCAGGGGGTGTGTGCATCGCCCAGTCGGTGAAGATACCGCGGGAGCCCAAGCCGGGGGAGTTCGACAAGATCATCCGGCGCCTGCTGGAGACCTCGAACGCCAGGGCAGTCATCATCTTCGCCAATGAGGATGACATCAGGTGAGGGCAGGTGACAGTGGGGGGACTGGGGGCCAGGCTTGGGGAGCGCCACTGGTCCTGTTGGAGACCTTCCTGGACAAGCAGACCCCACCCTGGGATCCAGAGAGCTGGGGTCCGGGAGTGAGTGTGCGGGCTGGGAGACCCCTCAGCCTGGGGCACAGGATACTGCTGATGGCACGGCTCCCCATACCCCTCCCTGTTTCCTGCATCCATTCTACCAATCAGGGATGGTAAACAAGTGCTTTAATGGAGGGGCTAAGACCATGCACTTGGGGCCACAGCACCTAGGTTCTAATCCTGCTCTACATCCTGCTAGCTGTATGACCTCAGGCAAGTTTCTCAACCTCTCTGGGGCTCTTTTCTAGGCTTGAAAAAAAGAGCTAATGATACCTGCCTAAGAGTGTTGTTAGAGAATTGAATGCAGAGTAGTGGGGAGAGGCCTGGGCTGGGGCACACAGTCATGGTGGGAAGTATCGTCACCTCCCTGGGCCCCAGTCTTTGAGTGTGAAGAGCGGGGACAAGTGGGCTGTGGGTGCCAGGACCGTAAGTGCAGAAAGCCTGGGCCAGCCACCTCTCCGCACGTCTGCCCTGGGTCTGAGTCAGAAACTCAGGGGCACTTAAAGATGACCCTTGAGTGCCCCACTGAAACACTGCCTTCCGGCCTGTTCCCTTGCTACCCTTGGAGACGGATGTGGGGGCCAAGATGGGCCAGACCTCGAAGTTCCCCGGTCTGAGGGGAGACATCTCCTGCTCTGGGTCCTGCGGGGGAGGCGTGGCCCCTGCATTTGCAGAGGAGCTGAGACAGCAGATGTGGTTACGCTGTCAGAGCCCCCGTGCCCTCAGGCGGCCTCTGTCCGTTGGCCCAGCCAAGGCTGCCTGTCTGCCCCCACGTGACTCCCTCCCCGTCACTGACCAGCGTCCGCTCTGGGCCCCATTCTCTCCCACACCTTTCCCACTTGGTAAAGACCCCGTCCTGGACTCCTGAGTTGCAGCAAAACAGATGTCCCCCCGGAGACGTTGCCCGGTCCCTGCAGGGACAGATCGGGGAGGTTCTGGAAGATCAGTAAGGTCTCCAAAGCCAAAAGGGCTGACTCGAACGGGTGTGTCTCAGGCGGAGAAATACCAGGGAGGGGGAGTCCTCAGAGGCCCCGTGACAGCTCTGAGCCCAGCGCAGAGGCTGCTCCCCGCCCCCTCGAAGCTCACAGTCCCCTAAGTTCTGGCTCTGGATGTTCTTGTCCGCAGGTCAGCCAGCCCCGGGGGCGGGAGTGGCTCCTTCTGAGCTCTCTTTCCTCACTTGAGTCACCAGTCCCTGCACTCCGCCCCCCCCCGTACCCACCCAAAGCCCAGCACTACCCGCACACCCCGCCCCCAGATATGCCCCGACTGCTGGCCTCCTGCTCAGCTGGGATGTATCCTGAGCCGGGAGGGAGGATGAAGGCGCTGGGTCACTGTCTCAGAGAAGAGGCCCCTGGGGGCAGGGGGAAGGGCCTTAGAATGACTCCCCAGGTGCTGGAGGAAGTGTGGTGGGAGGCAGGGGCATTTCTGGAAATCCACATGCATTTTCAGAAGCCAAATAAACCCAGAAGTAAAAATAAACCCAGGTGACTGCGGGTGGAGGGCTGGGAGCCCTGGTCATCTCTGGCTGGCCGGATGCTAGCAGGTATTAATAGGGCTGCGGCGTGGGTGCTGAGAGAAGCCCCACCTGCGATTAGTGTGCCCTGGGGGGCTGCCCTGGAAGGTCGAGAGTCAGGAGATGATGGAGGAGGGAAGGTGCAGGCTCTGGGGCCTGGGAACATGTTTCTCCCTGGCAGCCCCAGGCCGTCCTGCCCTAGCTGGCCACCTCCTGCACAGGCCTCACAGCCACCCCCAAGCCCTTGGGTCTGTGTCCCGGCCCTTACCCATGGGAAGCACCTGGCCAGTTTCTAATATCCTGGCCTCTCACTTGCTGTGTGATCTTGAGCAAGTTGCTTGCCTCCTCTGTGCTCCAGTCTCACCCCGTGGAAGGAGCTGGGTTGGGGGAATTCTGCCCAGTCCTCCCTGGTTTTCTTCTCCTAGAAGATGCTTTGAGGGACCATTTAGTTCATATATCCATTAAGCATTGACTGAGCGCCTCCTGCGTGCTTGGCCCTGTGCTGGGCTCCAGGGTCCCTGACTTGATAAGACCACTGTCACAGTGGGACAGGGGAGCGGGGTGAGCACTTGGCTGCCCCCGCACTTCCATCCATCCAGGCAGGGTGTGGGGAGCGGCTCTGCAAAGGACCTGGGCTTCTGGCACAGAAGGAGGTGGGGTGGCAAGGGCACTGCTGGCAGGGGAGCGAGTGCAGAGGGGCGAGGGGGTGTGTGTGCACGTGTGACAGTGGATGTAAATGTGCGAAGGAGCTGAGGGATGTGGCTCCGGGCGGCATGAACTCGAGAGGATGGCGGGGGCAGATGTAGCTCCAGGGGCCTGAGTCAGACCTGGGGCAGGTGCGGACCGAGGGACACAGGCGTGGTCTTTGCAGGGATAGATGTGGCCCTAGGGGACAGGAATGGCTCTGGGGGAGCACACTGGGCCTGTAGGCAGGTGTGGGCCTAGGGGCTAAGGGTGCATGTGTGGGTGAGGGGAAGCCACAGGCTGATGGGCATGTGTGGGCCGGGAGTGGGGGGATCTTGAACCTGGGGTTCAGGCAGGGGTGCTGGGGCAGCTGTGGGTCCTCGGCTCATGTGGGCCAGGGGTGGGGGATCCAGACACAGCCTAAGATACAGGCATGGGCTGTGAGGGGGGCAGGTGTGGGCCTGGTCTGGGTCAGCCAAGGGCCCCCGAGCACGTGTGGCCAGGGTGGGGGCAGTGGCAGGGCAGACACGGCTGGGCTGGGCTGGTGTGTGTTCCCACAGGCGCGTGCTAGAGGCGGCACGGAAGGCCAACCAGACAGGCCACTTCTTCTGGATGGGCTCGGACAGCTGGGGCTCCAAGAGCGCACCTGTGCTGCACCTGGAGGAGGTGGCCGAGGGCGCTGTCACTATCCTCCCCAAGAGGATGTCCGTGAGAGGTAGGCCAGCAGGCCTGGACGGCACCCGCCAATCATGCCCACCTCCGCCATCAGCGTCATCCCTGACTGGTCCTACTTATTGCAGACCCCTTCCTCTCCCACTGTCATCTTCCCACATCCTGCCTCTCCTCCTTCTTGGCCCACAGCCTCTTTGAGCTCAGGTGTTGGCCTGGGAGTCCTTTCTGACCACACTCGATCCAGCCGGTTTCAAATCCAGATTCAGGACCCCCCTTTCTCCCTTCTCTGATACTTTGGGTGTGGGAGACGTGTGGCACGTACAGGAGGCTCGTTTATCAAGGACTGTCCTTCATCCCTCCCATCCCCTCTCCCATCTGGGACAGAGGAGGCAGGCCCTCCCCTGCTTGGAGCCAGTCTTCATCAGATGGGAGCCGGGAGCTGCAAGAAGAAGGGGCTGCGCCAGAGCGCGGGGGCCTGCCTGATGCAGGCAGGCCCTGGATGGGGTCGGGGATGGGCCTGACCTGCTCGGCGTCCTTTCCTCTTGGGGCAGAACCCACAGTCACCCTGGGGAGGAACAGTCTGGTCTGGCCGGACCCTCGCTGTGCATGAGGCATGAAGCTCCCATTAATGGCCCCATGTGGCAGGACCTCCCTGACCTCACGGTGGGGGAGGCGGGCTCCCGGCCTTCACCCCTGCCTCGCTCCGTTCAATAGGGTCCAGCACTGATGCAGCTGGGAAGGCCTGCAGACACTTGCCTCCACGGAACTTTCCAAGAGCCTGAGCCCTGAGCAGGAGAGGGACTTGCTCAAGGTCACACAGCAGTGTCCTCTGTTCACCCCGAGGGAGCACAGGCAGCGGAAGTTTCCACATCATCCCTCTCGGCCTCACCCCATGATAAACACAAAGTAACAGTAACTAGGCTATTGGTCCCTAGAGATGCCAGGCCCCTTACCGACGGCCCATTTAGTCTTCCCAGCAGCCACATGTAGCAGACGAATACATTAAGGCTTAGAGAGATTAAGTGACATATAGCAGCTATTAAGTGGCAGAGCTGGGATTTGAACCCAGGGTTTGCCTGACAAGTCCCTCTCTTTCTGGGACGTGAGAGAAGCCGTTAGAGCAGTGGTTCTCCTCTGGGGGTGGTTTTGACGCCCCAGGGACATTTGGCATTGTCTGGAGGCATTTTTGCTTGTTACAACTTGGGAGGGATGCTACTGGCGTCATGTGGGTTGAGGCCAAGGATGTTGATGGACATCCTGCAATGCACAGGACAATGTGTTCATAGTGCCAGAGATGAGAGACCCCATTCTAAGCCGAGTGGCTCCCCCCAATGCCAGCAGTTCTCGTACAGCTCTGACAGTCATTCAGTCTTTACCTGGACCCTGCCGGAGGCGGCAACCTGACCACTTGGTGTGGGCCCCTTTGAACTTGCATGCCTTCTGGCCCGTCCCAAGCAGCTCAGTCAACTGTGCACATTACACAGAACGGTCATTGTTGCAGAAGGGGCACTGGGAGGAGGCGGAAGGCAGTATTCGCCTGCCAGCCTGCCCACCCCGGGATGGGGTTTTCTGGGCTTAGAGTAGAATTGATGAGTCCTGTGGAGCATAGGGAGGAGGAGGCTGCATCTGTCAATGATGGGGAAGTTCTGGACTTCAAGGGAGAAGATCCAGGTCCTGGTCTTGCTGTGTGACCTAGATCGTCCCCTACCCTCTCTGGTCCAGTTTCCTCTTCAGAACCAGAGAGCTCAGGTGCTTCCAGCTTTGGGCATCCTTCGCCGGGTCTCTGCTCTAAGCTCAGGAATCAACCCCCCACCCCGACCCTGCTCCTTCTCTAAGCAGCCCGATGTTAGCATTTTGGCGGTTAAAAGGTGGCGGAAGCATCTTCACCCTGTACTTCTCTTCCACAAAGGCAGCAGTTGTAAGATTACACATGCTCCCCCTGGGACTTGAGACAGCTCTTTTCATTTTGAATGAAAAGAAATGCTCCACATTTTGTTTTTTCCGACTGGGCCCTGGATCAGAGGATGTGCACTTCCCTCCCTGCCTCCGCCTGGGCCATCTCTAAGCCTGGGGGAAGCGGGGAGGGCTGGGGCAGGTGGGGAAGGGGGGCGTGAGGCCCTGACGTCCTGGTTCCCTGCCAGGCTTCGACCGCTACTTCTCCAGCCGCACGCTGGACAACAACCGGCGCAACATCTGGTTTGCCGAATTCTGGGAGGACAACTTTCATTGCAAGCTGAGCCGCCACGCGCTCAAGAAGGGCAGCCACGTCAAGAAGTGCACCAGTGAGCACGCGTGCGGGCGGACCGGCCTTCGGGGGCGGGGCTGGGGCTGGGGGGAGAGGGTTGGGAGCCCGAGCAAGGGGGTCTGCAGCCCGCGGCCCAGGCAGCGGGGAGATGGGGCTGCGCCTGGGGGCGGAGTTGCGGGCCGAGGGGCGGAGCCTGAGGGGGCGGGTCCTAAAGGGGCGGGGCCAGGGCAGATTCGGTCTGACACCAAGAGGTCTTGGGGGTGACAGGGCTTAAGCTGGCAGAAGCCACTGTACTCTCTCGGAGAAGCCATCGGTGACGCTTCCGAGTGGGGGACGGGGCTCCTGGGTCTCCGCAGAGGCGCCGTCTGGCCTATGGACCCCGTGGGGTTCATCTGGACGTCCTTAGGTCGAGCCCAGAGAACTGACCTAACCCCAGCTGGCCAGTGAGTCCCGATGCTCACCTGTCTGAACACTTTACAGAAACCATCTCTAACCTCTCGGGGTTCTCTTAGTCACTCAACAGACACCAGTTTGACTCCCGGGATGCACCTGGTTCTGTTCTCAGCACGGTGGATATAGCAGTGAACAACAGAGCCAGAAATCTCTTGGAGTTTTTATCCTAATGAAGAAACAGACAATCAACAAGATAAATAAGTAAATATAGAATATGTCAGAAGGAAAACGTGCGGTAGAAACACATAACACAGAGAAGGAAGAGGATGGGCCCCCTGCAAGGTGGCATTTGAACAGAGCCCTGAGAAGGACAGGGAATGAGCCGTGGAAGGGCGGGCCATGGGTCCACTTTACAGAGCCGAACGCAGAGGCTCAGGGAACCTCAGTAAAGGGAGCTGAGTTCCCACAGAGGGGAGGTGGTAGACAGGATCTGAACCCAGGCCTGATCTAGGCCCGCGGCCCCCTGGGGTAGCCATTTGGGTGCAGCCATATGTGGATACGTTCTGATGTGGGTCCTTGTGTGCTCTTGGTCTGGGCAGCTCTGCAGCAGGACCCGGCCTCAGTGACATGGGGGGAGCTCTGGTGTCCCTCAGCCTGGGAGGTGCTTTGCAAGGATGATGAACTCCCCCTTATATCCTCCTGGACTGACTGGTGCAGGTGGGCAGGGGCTGGATGAGCAAGGGGCCACTGAACTAGCCGCAGGGACATGCTGTGTGCAATCCTTGCCAGAGAGGTGGTCCACTGGGACCAGGGGGAGGGAGCATGATGAGGTGGGCGTTAGGTGGGGAGCATGTTTCCCTCTGGTGGTCAGGGGCCACTGGGAATCATGGCCACTTAGGACTGTGGTGTCCCTTGGGGGCCCAGGCAAGTGCACATGTGGGTGTAGGTGGCGGTGTGTGACTGTGTATGTGCATGAGTTGGTATGTCTAAGGGAGAAGGGGTTTGTGTGTGTGTGTCTGTGTTTGTCTATGTAGGAGCTTGTGTTCCTGGGTTAGCTAATAACCCATAAATGCCGCTGTTTATTATGCATCTGTTGTGTTCCAGACACTTTAAAGACACCTTCATAACAACTCTAGGGACTTTTGTGATCCCCGTATTATAGAGGAGGATGTGCAGAGGCAGCAAGGCCAAGCAACTTGCCCAAGGCTGCACAGCGAATGCCTCCCTCAGGCAGAAATGAGAATGGAGGTGTGAGAAGTGTGGGAGGCTGAACCTTGTGGGGAGGGTGACTCTGCTCCCTGCTCACTCCTCTTCTCCCGGTGTAATTATTGAGAGCATCCCCTTTAATTCTCAAAAGTGCCCAAGTGGGGATGGAAAATTGTATGTTCACCCTGATTCTAGGCCACCAGACGTGGCTTGGGGATGGGGATGGGTGAGACTGGAAGTGGGGGAAAGATGGATAGCAGGGGCCTCTGGGCCCGTGTCTAGCCCACCAAGGGTGAGAGGCTTTCTGGCATCACCTCTTGGTCTGGGAGGGGTGGGAGAGGAGAAGGCCTTGCTCAGTGCCCATGGGTGCTGTCCAGACTCCCAGTGCTGGGGATTTGCAAAGGCCTCCCTGGCGGGTGCACAGGGCCAAGGGCCACCTCTCGAGCAGCCCCGAGGGCGAGGGCAGAGTGTGGGCCGACTGTCAGAGCAGGTGGAGGAGGGGGATCAGAGCAGGACTCAGAGGAGCTCAGGGCTTCCCTGTGAGCCTGAGACAAGCTCTGCACCCTCCCTGGGCCTTCGCTCTCTCTTCTGAGACCTGGGTTTGCTGGTGAGCCAGCCCAAGGGGTCTCGGGACGAGTGAGACAGCATTGACAGAGGCACGTGGTGAACTATAAGATGGTGGCTCTGCAGCCTGGCTGTGCCTTACAATCACCTGCGGCTGCTCCACCCCCACCCCCACCCCCACAAAACAGACCCTCAGGGGTGGGGCCTGGGCCCTGGATGTTTTGAAGGCTCCCCAGGTGGTCTCTTGCGTATTTAGAGCTGGAGACCTTGGGCCGGAGCAGTGGTTCCCAAGCCTCGTTCACACTGAATTACCTGGGGAGCTTTGAAAACTGCTGATGCCTGACTCCCACCCCCAGACATTCTGATTGAATTGGTACTGGATGCAACCTGGGCATCAGGATTTTAAAGAGCGCCCCAGGTGGTCCTACTGTGCAGCAAAGTGTGGGAACCACAGGCTGAGAGGGAGAGGTGGGTAATGGGAGGGAGGACGGCATGCACCCCAGGAAGGACGGAGGGTGTGAGCAGAGGAGCAGAGCTGGCATGAGCGTGGGGAGCGTGTGCGGGGGGAGGCCTTGAGGACGGCACCTTGCAGCTAACCTGGATCCTTCTTGCTGTGTCTGAAGCCCCAGCAGAGGCTGGTAAGAGTCTTGAGTGGCCCCAAGTCAGTGTGGGGAGCTGGGGAGCCCATCTGTCGTCTGTCTCTGGGTGAGGGGAGGGCAGGGGGCTGCTGGGAATGTCTGTGGGACCTGAGGCCCACCCCTGGGGAGGGGAGGGCGGGGGCTGCTGGGAGTGTCTGTGGAACCTGAGACCCACCCTGGAGGAGAGAGAGGCAGCTCTGGCTTCCCCATGGTCCTTCCCAGGTTTGAGCTGAGCTGGTCCCTTAGGCTGGGAGGTCTGGGGTGACCCCCACGGAGTGCTGGCTCTGGACTGGGCACCTGGGAGGGAGGGATGGGGGAAGGACTCACCCCTGGGTCTGGGTCTGACTCTGCCTCCTCCCTGCTGTGTGACCTTGGACAAGTCATTTAACCTCTCTGAGTCTCAGAAACTTGTCTGTAGAACAGAGAAGACATCCTCCCTCTCAATGGATTGTTGTGAGGATCAGAGATAAAGTGTATGAAGAGGCTGGCTGAAAAATGATGCCTGTGTTGGATGCTGATAAAATGGTGTTGTCTTCGATATACAGGGGGGTGGGAGAGATGGGATTTACAGGCAATTAGGTAATTATCAGTCCAAGTGTGTTGGTACTGATTCCATCTGTCAGCTGTAGGATCCCGGATGAGGGGGTCACCATCCCAAGGGTGGGTAGAACATGGGTGCTGCACCCATTTTACAGAAGGGGACACTGAGGCAACTGGAGAACATCACGGCACTAGAGATGTGGCAGAGCTGGACTCACACCCCGGCAGCCTGGCTCTAGAGCTGGGGCCCCACCTGCCCCTCCCATTCCTTCCCTCCCACGCCTCGGGCCCCCCTCTCTCTTGCCTTTGCCTGGCTCTGTATTCTCCCCGACTCTGTCCCAGAGCCTGGCTTCCCACTCGCCTCTCCCAGGTGCCTGCCCCGTCAATACCGGTGGCCTTGGATTGGCCCACTCTGGTCCCTTGATGCCAACAGACTTGATGGTCGGCCTCTGCCTGTTTCAGCGCCAGGCCCCACCTGCCCAAGGTCTCACAGTGAGAAACTGCCACTCTTCCGTGCGCCGGTCCTTTGCTTTCCAAATCCATCCCTTCCACCCCAGGTCAACGGTGGGCCAGGTGACCTTCTGAGAGTGTGGGAAGGACCTGCTCATCCTGGGGCCTTACCCTCGGGAAGATTCCATCCGTCCTTCAAGGCTGTCTTTGAGACAGTTTGAGGGCAAGTACTTTATTTGGGAGGGATCCCAGGAAACCCTGGTAGGGAGAGAAGGCAGCCATAAAGGGTGTGAAACCAAGCAGGTGACCACTGTGACCCCCTGGAGCTCTGCTCGCCCTTGGGCTCTGGAGACAGAGAGGAGCACACCTTTCCGTCATCCCTCTGGAGGCGTGAGGGAGCTGGGGTATGTATACACCAACACCCGTCGATCACTGTGGCTGCTCCTGCAGGGCATTCACTCCTCAGCACCTCCAGCCTGCCAAATGGCTGGGCAAAGAGGGCTTCTGTGCCTAGAGAGAGTCTCAGAAGAGTGGCAGGTGCTGGCGGTTGGAGATTGGGCTGGTGGGTCTCCAAGTGGTAAGGGTGGGGGGTACGGTGGGCCCCCATCGCTTCTCAGACATACAGCTATGAGACTGCTGCAGACTTGGGTGTGAGTCCTGGTGCTGCCGCTTCCCAGCTGCATGACCTCGGGCAGGTCACTTCACCTCTTGAGGCCTCAGTTTCCTCATCTGCAAAAGGGGAATCATGTCACCCACTCCCGTCCCCCTGGAGCCGGGTCCCCAGCACAGTGCCTCCCTCACGGCCTCCTGGAGAAGGGATGGAGGGGATTGCAGGAAGCACGTGCGGGTGGCCCAGGCTCACCCCCCACCTGAGCGATCCAGGGGTCACTGAGCGGGCGGTCTCTGCAGCTGTCAAGGCCTGAGAGAGGGCAGCTCCCGCCTCCCTCCTCGCCTCCTGGCCCCCTCCCTGGGAGCCTGCAGAGCAGGGTGTGGGAATTAAAGCCGTAAACAAGGCAGATGTAGCATCCGTCTTTTTGACAGCACTGCCAGCCAGGTGATGGCTGAGCAGAGGAAGGCCCGGTTTATGAGCAGATAGGAGAAATTTACTGCCTGCCGCTCCCGGGGGCCGAGAGCTCTGAGAGGGAGGGCGGCTGCGTGGTGGCTGGGGACGTGTGGGAAGACGCCGATCGCCCAGCCTCTGCTGAGAGCAACAACGGCAACAACGATAATAGTAACAGCTAATATT